GTCATGTACAATGCACGACATTTTCGTCCGCAATTCTTTCCTTTTTCTCTCACAGCTGTTTATATAGCCTCAATAGTGACTAACTGTAGGTATTCGATAAACAGCTCGCATCAAACTGTCTGGTTATATTCAATGCCTCGAAAATCAAACGAGTTATATTCCATTACCGCCGATGGGACCCCAAGCTACCGCCAGTCACCGTGCCTTGAGAGAATATTAGGCCTTAAACTCACACCTGACCACAAGTCGAACTGTTATATAAAGATGCGGATGAAATGGTTGGTTCTCTGAAACCGTTCCAGTAAGTACTTGACTCGTCATGTTAACTTTTATCTTTATAAGAGCCAGATTGGGTTGAAAATGGAGTATTTTTGCTATATTTGGACGGGAGCTACCCAGTCCTCACTTTCTTGTCTTGATAAAGTTCAAAAGCGTTTCCAAGTCTTTGCTGGAGAAAAATATTTTTTCTCCCTCCAAAGTCTCTCCCACAGGCGAGATGTGGTGAGTCACTCTCTGCTCTATCGCTACCCCCATCGAAAGTGCTCGGACGAACTATAATCCTTGGTTCCGTCAAGTCGAAACCTTCACGGCTAGGACCCGCCTTGCCATTTATATTGTAGCAAAAAAACAAAAAAAAAACAAAAAAAAACACGTTCCCTCCGTATTACATCGGCGAGAAATAAGTTACATTGAGATTCTTCCCACGAATCACTGTTCTGTAGAACAGACTCTCAAGACGATGTTTCCCTGATCACTACAATTTTAACCTGTTCAAGTCTAGAGTTAACCGTTATCTCCTATTCATGTAAACTACCCTTTAACGTAAGTGTCTACCTCGAGTGGACCCCGGGTCATGTACAGTGTGAACCTTACTGTAACAACAACAACAACAAAAAAATCTCTCAGGTGACATCTCCGGCGCGAGGTCATTCTAATCCTAGAGATTATTTCGTACCTCCAAACTTTCGGCACATTACAAATTCGCCTCCACATGAAGAGTTCCATACTGAATGCCACATTACTCAACTTCATGGTGACTATCTACAAGACCCTAATAACTAACTTTAAAATTTGAGGAGACGCTGAGATAATTATGTGAGATCCTAAGGTGATCCTAATTTTCAAGCGGACTAAGACGGTAGTACCACAGGTAGGATAATTTTAGCTAATATTAAATGGTTGAATATTTTTAAAAATCGAGTAGCACGCTTAAATTCATTCAGTCGAAGCGTCAGGAAGGAAAGCTCATCAGAACAACTGCCATGAAAATATTTTGTAGACAAAACAGAGGGAAGTCACATGAGAAAGTGACTGAAGACGAAATGCCTGGTCAGAATCGATTAGATTACAGACTTTTCTTTGCATATTGGTGAGAATCTCGAAATATATATATCATGAGCTCTGGCATCTTTCATCTGTCAGTATTTACTCGTTGTCCGGTTTTTAAGATGCCTTCTCGGCAGCTTCACAGGTATGGCTTGACCGCACGTAAAGACAGACCAAAGATTTATTTTTCTAGAACAAATATAAAAATAAGATTTGGAGAAAATCTGTCCATTTTCTTTTCTTTCATGAATATTGTTTCAAAATAGCTTTTCATTCTCTGTGTTTTATAGTTATTTACTAAGTGTAGCCTTGTTTGATCCAACACCATAATGATAAGAAGGACTAACTCCACGGCACTAATGGACTGGTTCGCAAGACCATTGCGCCAAGTTAGACAACTGAGGATGAGTCAACTCAATGCACGGGTCCCAGCTGTGAATGTTGGAGTGGCCTTCATATATCATTGTCCTGGAGAGGACACTCCATTTTCGTCACCAAAGAACAGAATTTTGACCAAACAGGGTGCTACCTCATGAGGTAAACGAATGTCGGCTAAAATAAAGAAACCCAGGAAAATACGAGGCAAATTGTTGTGGCCTTGTTAGGGCCAGAAATAAAGACACAAGTAAGGAATTGAGTTATACAAATATATTAACAGAAACAGTAATACAAACATATACAACCGAGAGTGTTACAGGAAGAATGTTCGGCCCGACTGTCAGAGCTGACTGCTGGAAAATTCCCTCTCTAAAAGGCAGTACCTACTCCTATTTATAACTGGGAGAGTCCATGCGTGCGTGTGTAAATTACCATAACACAAATGAAAATAGATTCAGTAGAATGTAATACTATCTGAAATTGTTAAGGGGTCCACCCCTTTTTATATAAGTGGACTCGCCCAGTGTGTACTTGTACTGCTGCCGGTGAATACCCGGGACTGAGAGTGACAGTGAGATAGTGAGAGAGTGAGGTAACCGCTTTGTAGGAGTTACAGTTGCGAGCACGTGGACTCAGAAGGAAGTCATACTTCGATACTGAATTTCCCAGACTGTATATATATTATTATTGCTACTAACCGCATTTCTGGATCTACTAACCGTATTACCAATTGTATTATTACGTCAATACATTTATTTGCAATATTTCATTCCTGCGTTTGTCATTCATTTTGAGACCAGATTCCATCCCGGAATCCACAACAGAAATATAGCTCGATATGAAAACAAAAAAGTTTTTGACAATAATTTTCACCTTGTACAAGGCCTGGGAGCCACTCGAGGTAGAAGGTTACAGAGTAAGAGGCATAGTCTATGTGGATCTGTAGGGAAGATAATAGTTACTCACAGACTTAAACAGGTTGAAATTGTTTGGTTGGGGAAGCATCCCATTAGGCGCCGGTTCCATGAATTAGCGGTTCGTGGTAAGAAGCTGTTCGAGTGGAACTTACATCTCACGAATGAAATACGAAGGAAATAATGGTGTTTCACTAGAATGTCCGTGACGGGTCTTAGCTGTGAAGGTTAGAACTGGTGAAAAGAAGGAATGTAGTTCGGCTGACCATCTGCCGTGAAAACAATACTGAGGGGCTAGCAACGTTTTGTCTGTGGAGAAATGGATTGTAGGATGGAAAACAGTTCATCACTCACAAGGCCATGCAAGCGTCTTTGAACTCTGTTGAAGCTGGAAAGTTAAGTTTGGACAGATAGGGCAACAAGATTCCATTTTTGGTCTGATCTGGCTCTTGTAAGGATAGAGAATGGCAGGACGAGTCGGATACTTTCTGGAGCGTTACAGGGAAATTGAACATTTTTTCAGCATCTTTGATATTGATTCTAATCTTAAGAGTGATACTGTCGAAACGGTTTAATTTCTTGCCACATATTAATGGCTTTTTTTTTATAGAATGTGAAAACCTTTTCTTTGCTAAGAAATTTCTCATTAGAGAGTGAATCAACTAATTGTAATTTAGCAACTTTTATCGGCTCAATTTTTTAATTACTAGAATTTTCGCAACACGCCGATACGTGTTGAAGTCCTTATTGTCTGAAGTATTGTTGAATTTACCGCTAATATTTTTGTCGAGATTTACAAACTATACGTTTTGTTCAATTTCGCAAACCAATCGATGTAATATAAAAACTTAAAGATATCCAAATAACAATATTTCATTTCAAATAAGTATTTTTTTATTTTAATCATTAAATTGTTTTTAAGTTAGTGGGAGTATTTTGTATGTTGAATAATAAAACTTTCAATTTTTCCAAAAAGATAAACGAGAATGTATTGTACTAAACACCACACTCTAGTAAAACTAAGTGTACTTTGTGCCCCTCTTACCTCGCTGCACTTCTCCCCAAAATTTCGTTTTGATCGGTCAAGAATTGGCTATTTTAGAGGTTGTGACGGACAGACTAATGAAATTCTCAGAATTTTATATATAGATAGATAAATTAATTTCCTTATATTTTATGTTTATCGTCATTCAAAAACATAGAAAATGAATTGAGTATATACACAAAATAAGAGAAAGATCTGAGCAGACTTACTCACTTTTACAGTGAGGCGATAATGAGAGAATTAGAAGTCCTGTCAGGGTTGATTATTGGCGGCCATAATCTTAACAATATAAAATATACAGATGACATAGTGTTGATAACAGACTAGGAAACTACAGGAATACCTGTAGAAGTAAAGGAAAATGAGTAGGAAGGACTAAACATTAGTTGTAAGAAGACAGAATAAACAGCAAAATAAATAGTCCAAGATACGACAACCAGGTTTCAACTACGTATTAACAATTCGACTTATAACTGACTACTTATAAAAAACAGACTTAAACCCGACTACGTATGATAACCCATACTGTAGACCATCTCTAGAATTTATGATATGGAAGTTTTAAGTTGGATTAACGTGTGTGATACCGATTAACGAGTAACTTTTCTCTTCCTATTCTTTCATTTACTTCATTTTAAAATCCCTGGCGTCCGGAATAGAGACGCTAATTAATCGGAGTATACTAATAAACTTTTTTTTCTTGAAGCAGTCAGTCAGTCATGTGCCATTATACACGCTTAGGCGATCATGTATCTTTCGATACGTGACTGAAGAGGCAGATTTTTCCCCGTAGGACTGACGAGCTAGATTTTTTCCCGTTGCCATCCAAGGCTATAGAACCCGGTCTATTTACCCATAGCTGGAGGGAGGAGACGAAGAGGATTCATACCTTTCTCAAGGGTATTATCACGTGTGTGAATGTAATGGATTCGACTGGAATTCGAACTCGGCTCCCCGATTCCTCAATCCGTGCCTCCTTTTTTTTTTTGAAGCAGTAGATTAAATAACTGTACTATTTTACAACAGCATTAAGAACGCGGGTGGTAGAGAGTAAAATGGGAGGCGGCTAATGTTAGCATAAGACAATAAAACCTGTTTCTTGCTATTTAAAATCACAAATAAACCCATTTTACCCTTTCAATAGCATAATTTAAATAATTTCTAAAGAGAAATTGCTAAAAATTGATTCTTTTATTTTTTTTTTTTGTGATAAGACGTGAGTAGCTTTAGATAGTGAATTCGTGAGGAGAAGGAGGAGGAGGACCGCTTCAAGAGGAGATACGCGTATTTTGGTCATATGTTGTGTTTGAAAAAAAAATGTGATTTTGGCGTTGGCA